TGGGAATGGGGGATTGGGAACGGGGGATTGGATCCCAACGAAAAACAGGCCTGGGTGAGGGAACTGTGGGAAAACTGGGAATGGGATTGAGGGGGAACTGGGAATGGAGGATTTGGGATTGGGAGGGAATTGGGATGGAAGGGGGATTGGATCCCAAGGGAAAACAGAGCAGTGTGAGGGGATGGGGGCTGGGATTGGGGCTGGAGTCAGGATCTGAGAGATCCTTGGGATTTGGAGGGCTGGGATTGGGGGGATGCAGGGATTGGAGGGAATTGGGATTGGAGTGAGAACTGGGATTGGGGAGATCCAGTGACTGGGGAGGGTGTGGGACTGGGGGGAAACTGGGATTGGGGGATCCCTGGGATCAAGGGGATCCTTGGGATCGAGGGGAACCAGGGACTGGAGGGAATTGGGATTGGAGTGAGAACTGGGACTGGGGGAGATCCAGGGATTGGGGAGGGTCTGGGACTGGGGGGGGGAACTGGGATTGGGGGATCCTTGGGATTTGGAGGGCTGGGATTGGGGGGATCCAGGCATTGGGGAGGGTCTGGGATCGGGGGATCCTTGGGATCGAGGGGAACCAGGGATTGGAGTCATCTGTGACTCACTGCCGGGGAGTTGCGATCGGGGGAATCCTGGGATCAGGCGAGACCCTCGGAATTCCGCGCCATCCTGGAATTTGGGGAATTCCAACTCCCTAAACCCCACATCTCCCCGCGGGCAGACATCCGCCTGCGCGTGCGCGCCGAGTACTGCCAGCACGACTCCGCCCTGCACGGCAACGTCTTCTCCAACAAGCAGGACCCGCTGGAGCGCCAATTCGAGCGCTTCAACCAGGCCAACACCATCCTGAAATCCCGGGATTTGGGCTCCATCATCTGCGACATCAAATTCTCGGAGCTCACCTACCTCGACGCCTTCTGGCGGGATTACATCAACGGCTCCCTCCTGGAGGCCCTCAAGGGCGTCTTCATCACGGACTCGCTCAAACAGGCCGTGGGCCACGAGGCCATCAAGCTGCTGGTCAACGTGGACGAGGAGGATTATGAGCTGGGCCGCCAGAAACTCCTCAGGAACTTGATGCTCCACACGGCTCCCTGAGGGATCCAGCTCCGGTTGTTTGTTTGTTTTTTTTGTTGTTGTTTTCCCGGGTTTTTCCCGGTTTTTTTTTTGTTGTTGTTGGTTTTTTTTTTTTGATTCTTTTTCCGCGGAGGTTTTGTTGGCGGAGGTGCCCGAGCGGAGCCCGCTGATGGATTTGGGGAGGGTTGGAAATGTGGGATATTCCGGGATTTGGAGCTTTTTGGGGTTCCTGATGGGTTCTCCTTGTGTTTTCCATGGGTTTTTCCTCCCATTCTTGATTTTGTATCCATTAAAAACGGCGATGAAAAGGCAAAAATCCCATTGGTGCAGCCCAGTTGGAATTGGGGATTTGAGGTGTGGAATATTCCAGAATTCCTCACTTTTCCTTGTCAATTCCTCCTCGTGTTTTCCATGGATTTTCTCTACTTTCTTTTCTTTTCTATCCATTAAAAATGGTGATAAAAAGGCAAAAATCCCATTGGTGCAGCCCAGTTGGAATTGGGGATTTGAGGTGTGGAATATTCCAGAATTCCTCACTTTTCCTTGTCAATTCCTCCTCGTGTTTTCCATGGATTTTCTCTCTTTTCTTTTCTATCCATTAAAAACGGTGATAAAAAGGCAAAAATCCCATTGGTGCAGCCCAATCCGAGTTGGGGATGTGGAATATTCCAGAATTCCTCACTTTTCCGTCAATTCCTCCTCGTGTTTTCCATGGATTTTCTCTACTTTCTTTTCTTTTCTATCCATTAAAAATGGTGATAAAAAGGCAAAAATCCCATTGGTGCAGCCCAGTTGGAATTGGGGATTTGAGGTGTGGAAAGCCCTGGAACAATGGAATATTCCGGGTTGGAGCTGTGGGTTATTCTGGGATTTGGAGCTTTTTGGGGTTCCTGATGGGTTCTCCTTGTGTTTTCCATGGGTTTTTCCTCCTGTTTTTGATTTTGTATCCATTAAAAACGGCGATGAAAAGGCAAAAATCCCATTGGTGCAGCCCAGTTGGAATTGGGGATTTGAGGTGTGGAAAGCCCTGGAACAATGGAATATTCCGGGTTGGAGCTGTGGGTTATTCCGGGATTTGGAGCTTTTTGGGGTTCCTGATGGGTTCTCCTTGTGTTTTCCATGGGTTTTTCCTCCTGTTTTTGATTTTGTATCCATTAAAAACGGCGATGAAAAGGCAAAAATCCCATTGGTGCAGCCCAATCGGAATTTGGGATGTGGAATATTCCAGAATTCCTCATTTTTCTCCGTCAAATTCTTCTTTTCCTTGTGTTTTTCCATGTTTTTTTTCCCCTATTTTATTTTATATCCATTAAAAATGGCGAGAATCCCGTTGGTGCAGCGCGCTGAGATTTGGGAATTGGAGGTGTGGGAAGCCCTGGAATAATGGAATATTCCAGAATTCCTCATTTTTCCCTGTCAAATTCTCCTTCTCCTCGTGTTTTCCATGATTTTCTTACTTCGTGTCCATTAAAAACAGAGGCAAAAAGGCAAAAATCCCGTTGGAATTGGGGATTCCAGGTGCGGGAAACATTGGAAAAATGGAATATTCCAGAATTCTTCATTTTCCTTGTCAAATTCCTCCTTGGATTTTCCATGATTTTCCCCTCGTTTTTCTCTCTTTTATAATTATTAAAATCAACGACAAAAAGCACATTGGAATTTCCCCCAAAATTCCCGTTTTCCTCCCAAAAGTCTCTTTTTTTTCCCCCCAAAAAATTCCCATTTTCCCCCCAAACCAAACAGGGATGGATTTTTTTCCCATTTTCTTTGTTTTTCCCCCCATTCCCACTCAGCACTTGGGGGGGTTCAGGGTTGTCCCCCAATCCCTCCCATCCCAAAATTCCTCCACGCTTTGGGGTCAATTCCTGGGATTTTTGTATTTTTCAAATTTCAATAGAAAGAAATTCCTCCCCCCCACACCCCCAAAATTCCCCAAAAAAGGGGGAATTTCCCCAAAAAAAGGGGAAACTTCCCCCAAAAAAGGGGACACCCCAAAAAAAGGGTGTAGGGAGCCCCAAACTGCCCCATTTTGGGGGAAAAAAGGGCAGATTTGGGTAAAAATGTGGAATTTGGGGTGCCGGTGTCACCCTTCAATGATCCCTAAAAATGGGGGAGACCCCAAAAAATTGGGGGGAGCCCAAAATAGGGAGGGGACAGTTCCAATTTAGGGACAAAAGTGCCGATTCAGCGCAAATTTGGGGCAGATTCAGAGCAGATTTGGGACTCCCCAAAACAAAAGAGGGGGGGACACGTTGGGCTGTTTCATTTTGGGGACAAAAAGGCCAATTTGGAGCAGATTTGGGACCCCTAAAAAGGAGTGGGAACCCCAAAAGGAGAGCAGGGAGGAAACATTGTGCCATTTCCCCTCGGGGAAATTTGGGACCCCAAAAAGAGCAGAGGGGGGGTCACATTTTGTCATTTCATTTTGGGGACAAAAGAGCAGATTTGGGGTGGATTTGGGGCTGAATTGATGAAGATTTGGGCAGATTTGGAATTGAATTGATGCAGATTTGGGGCAAATTCAGAGTTGAGTTGATGCAGATGTGGGGCAGATTTGGGGCTCAATTCATGCAGATTTGGGGCAGATTTGGGGCTGAATTAATGCAGATTTGGGGCTCAATTGATGCAGATTTGGAGCTGATTTGGGGCTAAATTGATGCAGATTTGGGGCAAATTTGGAGCAGATTTGGGGCTGAATTGATGCAGATTTGGGGCTGAATTGATGCAGATTTGGGGCTGAATTAATGCAGATTTGGAGCTGAATTAATGCAGATTTGGGGCAGATTTGATGCAGATTTGGAGCTGAATGGATGCAGATTTGGGGCAGATTTGATGCAGATTTGGAGCTGAATTAATGCAGATTTGGGGCTGATTTGGAGCTGAATTGATGAAGATTTGGAGCAGATTTGGGGCAGATTTGGGGCTCAAGTGATGAAGATTTGGGGTAGATTTGGAGCTGAATTAATGCAGAATTGGGGCAGATTTGATGCAGATTTGGAGCTGAATTAATGCAGATTTGGAGCTGAATTAATGCAGATTTGGAGCTGAATTAATGCAGATTTGGGGCTGAATTGATGCAGATTTGGAGCTGAATTAATGCAGATTTGGAGCTGAATTAATGCAGATTTGGGGCTGTTTTAATGCAGATTTGGAGCTGATTTGGAGCTGAATTAATGCAGATTTGGGGCTGAATTAATGCAGATTTGGGGCTGTTTTAATGCAGATTTGGAGCTGATTTGGAGCTGAATTAATGCAGATTTGGGGCTGAATTAATGCACATTTGGGGCTGTTTTAATGCAGATTTGGAGCTGATTTGGGGCTGAATTAATGCAGATTTGGGGCTGAATTAATGCAGATTTGGAGCTGATTTGGAGTTGAATTAATGCACATTTGAACCCCCAAAAAAGAAAGGGGGGCCACGTTGTACCATCACACTCTGGGGACAGAGAAGCAAATCCGGTGTGAATTCCGAGCGGATCGAGCCCAAACCCGCTGCGGGTCCCCGTCACGTCCCCGGTGTCCCCGTCACGTCCCCGGTGTCCCCGTCACGTCCCCGGTGTCCCCAGGGCCCCGTAGATGTCCCCACGGCGGTGGCCGTGCACCGGCAGCTCCCGCCGCACCTGCTCCAGGTAGGCCAGGTCGAGCTGGGCCAGGCACAGCCCCGGCCCCTCCTGGCACTGGGCCACCACCGTGCCCCAGGGATCGGCCACCAGAGAGTGACCGAAGGACGCCCGGCTCGGGTTGTGCCGCCCGGTCTGGGCCGCGGCCACCACGTAGCACTGGCACTCGATGGCACGGGCACGCAGCAGCACCTGAGGGGACAGTGGTGACACTGAGGGGGGCACAGGGGGCACCTGAGGGGACAGTGGTGACACTGAGGAGGGCACAGAGCAGCACCTGAGGGGACAGTGGTGACACTGAGGGGGCACAGGGGGCACCTGAGGGGACAGTGGTGACACTGAGGAGGGCACAGGGGCACGGGGGGCACCTGAGGGGACAGTGGTGACACTGAGGGGGGCACAGGGGCACGCAGCAGCACCTGAGGGGACAGTGGTGACACTGAGGGGGCACAGGGGCACGCAGCAGCACCTGAGGGGACAGTGGTGACACTGAGGGGGGCACAGGGGGCACCTGAGGGGACAGTGGTGACACTGAGGGGACCTGGGGGCACAGAGCAGCACCTGAGGGGACAGTGGTGACACTGAGGGGACCTGGGGGCACAGAGCAGCACCTGAGGGGACAGTGGTGACACTGAGGGGACCTGGGGGGCACAGGGGGCACAGAGCAGCACCTCGGGGGACAGCGGTGACACTGGGAAGGGACAGCGGTGTCACCCAGGGGACAGAAAGGGAACACATGTCAGGGGACATGGGGTAGAAAAGGGGACACTGAGGTCACCAAGGGGACAAAAAAGGGGGACACAGGGACACTTGATGGCCTGGGCATGGATGGACAAGTACCTGAGGGGACATGGGGGGGCACCTGGGATGTCCCCAACCCCCTGTGAGTGTCCCCAGCTCCTCTGGGAGTGTCCTCAACCTTTTGGAATTGTCCCCAACCCTTTGAGAATGCCCCCAGCCCTTTCCCCAACCCCTCTGGGATTGTCCCCAACCCCCTGGAGAGTGTCCCCATTGTCCCAGTGACTGTCCCCAACTCCCATGGGTGTCCCCAAACATCCTGGAAGTGCCCTTAACCTTTGGGGATTGTCCCCAAACCTTCTGTGAGTGTCTGGTCCCCACTTCCAACCCGCTCAAAGTGTCCCCAGTCCCCTGGGACAATCCCCACTCCCCCATAAATGTCCCCAAATCTCTTTGGGGGTGTCCCCAAGCCCCCCCAGGGTGTCCCCAAGCCCCCTGTGAGTGTCCCCAAGCCCCCTGTGAGTGTCCCCAAGCCCCCTGTGAGTGTTCCCAAGCCCCCCGGGCTGTCCCCAAGCCCCCCCAGGGTGTCCCCAAGCCCCCCCAGGGTGTCCCCAAGCCCCCCAGGGTGTCCCCAAGCCCCCCAGGGTGTCCCCTCACCTCCCAGTGCGCGGCTCCGGTGGGGACGGTGAAGGCCGAGGGGAAGGTCAGGATTTGGGCTCCAGCCCCGCGCAGGGCCTGGGCCAGCTCAGGGAAGCGCAGGTCATAGCACACGGCCAGCCCCAGCTGCGGGGTGAGGGGACAGCTGGGACACCCTGGGACAGCTGGGGACAGCCCTGGGGACAGAAGGGACACCCTGGGACAGCTGGGGACAGCCCTGGGGACAGCTGGGACACCCTGGGGACAGCTGGGGACAGCCCTGGGGACAGAAGGGACACCCTGGGACAGCTGGGGACAGCCCTGGGGACAGCTGGGGACAGCCCTGGGGACAGCTGGGACACCCTGGGGACAGCCGGGGACAGCCCTGGGACAGCTGGGGACACCCTGAAACACCCCATGGACATCGAGGACACCCTGGGGACACCCTGGGGACAGCCCTGGGACATTGGGGACACCATGGGGACACCATGGGACAGTTGGGGACAGCCCTTGGACATCAGGAACACCCTGGGGACACCCCTGGGACAGCTGGGGATAGCCCTGGGACACCCTGGGGACACCCCTAGGACATTGGGGACACCCTGGGGACACCCTGGGAGCGGTCAGTGAGGGCAGGGGACAGCTGGGGACAGCGGGGGACAGCTGGGACAGCTGGGGACAGCGGGGGACAGCTGGGACAGCTGGGGACAGCGGGGGACAGCTGGGACAGCTGGGGACAGCGGGGGACAGCTGGGACAGCTGGGGACAGCGGGGGACAGCTGGGACAGCTGGGGACAGCGGGGGACAGCTGGGACAGCTGGGGACAGCGGGGGACAGCTGGGACAGCTGGGGACAGCGGGGGACAGCTGGGACAGCTGGGGACAGCGGGGGACAGCTGGGACAGCTGGGGACAGCGGGGGACAGCTGGGACAGCTGGGGACAGCCCTGGGACACCCTGGGGACACCCTGGGAGAGGTCAGGGAGGGCAGGGGACAGCTGGGGACAGCCCTGGGACACCCTGTGGACATTGGGGACAGTCTGGGAGAGGTCTGGGAGGGCAGGGGACAGCTGGGGACACGGCAGGACGTGGCCAGGGCCGGACCTTGCCCACGGGGGTGGCGATGGGTGGCAGCAGCTCCCGGCCGGGGTTGGTGAAGGAGCTCTCGCACAGCGCCGGGGCCCCCGGCAGCGCCGCATCGAACAGGTGCAGCTTCCTGTAGGCAGCCACCAGCACACCTGGGGACAGCAGGGGACAGCTGGGGACAGCTGGGGACAGTTGGGGACAGCAGGGGACAGCTGGGGACAGTTGGGGACAGTTGGGGACAGCTGGGGACAGCCAGGGCTTGGGGACAGCTCAGGCTTGGGGACAGCCAGGGACACAGGGATATCTGGAGGGTTGGGAATGTTGGGGACACAGGGATTGGGGATCCAGGGGACACAGGGGTGACACAGGGGGGTGACACAGGGGTGACACAGGACCGGTGTCCCACCGGAGTTGTCCAGCAGCAGGTGACAGTTGTAGATCCGGCCGGTGCTGTCCCAGTCCTGGCCGCGCTCATGGAAACCCCCAAGGGAGAGCCACACGTCACATTCCCTGGGGACACACAGTGACATTCC